CAATTCCGATAGTCCAAATAGGCCTTATTATAGTCATGTATATGAGTCTTTTGTAATTAATTGGGAGTTTAGAGCATTTGTCTAGTAAGTATTCAAGTAATCGGAAATGTGGAGCGGTTTCTTGTTGTTTCAGTCTGGTATGAGGATTCCAAGTTATATTTGTCCAGGTGGAGTCCTAAGTAGCGGATTTGCTCAACAGGGATTATTGGAGTATTGTTAAAGGAATCTGTAGGACAGGAAGTCATTGGTTTACGATTGTGTATTTAATTAGGAACTAAAAACTCGTAAATACCCATTTGCTTTCTTCTTGGATCGTAAGATAAATTGATCACAAAATCGATAAAAAAGGTGACCTACAAAAATATTGGGCCATTTGTCCTATATAACCTCGTTATTTTGAAAATTTGGAGGTGTAGGTCACGCCAAACGGCACTATATTTTTGGAGGCCACCTTTTTTCTCGACTTTGTGATAAAGTTATCTTAAGATCCAAGTAGAAAGCAAATGGGTATTTAAGCATTTTTAGTACCTAATTAAATAGACAAAGATTGCCCCCCCTCCAGATCGAAAACGCTCCAATTCCAAGAGTTTTCGTATATATAATAGTTGTAGTTTACAATGAAATGTTAATAATTCGACAAAAAGGTACCATGGACTCAACTTATTAAAAATGACAAGTCCGTCTTTCATACGAAGCCACTCATATTGAACAGAATGAAAAATTTATTCAGAAAAAATGCGGTATCATCACTGTGAAAGTGTCCGTTATGAAAACTATATTTTTACTCATTTTTCATTGTGATATTTGCTAGAAATTTAATTTTTTGGTCGACTATTTAAATAAGAATATTATTTAATTAAAGCGAGAATAGGAATATTCAACATGTGTCAATGCTGTCAAAATGTTGTTTATTTAACAGCCAGGTCGATGTCGTTTATCAGGCAGTCGTTTTAATGTGAAAGCGATCAAGTTTCGAGTCTATGCCGGTCCGGTGCCGACCTGATGTCGTTTATCTGACTGCTGGATAAACGACATCGGGCTGTTTATCCGACTGCCGGATAGTTGTGAAACAAATCTTAAACCTTTAAACATTCACTTATAAACAACACTTGTATCTATAAATATCACAATCACAATAAACTAGAAAAGTTTCTCATCTACCCACAATCTCTACAACCTAGCATTATTATTCTACTCAATAATATAATGGTTATAGTGATATTATTTGTGATATAGTTCAGTTCTACGAGTATTACAAACATCAATCAATATTTATTTAAAAAAAATAATGAACAAACAATATCTATTCATACTCATGTATGGCTAACTGTTTAAACTGTAAACTATGGAACGTCCGATCTGTTAAAAATAAATTACTGGAACTAAAGGAATTTATTTCCTTTAACATTCCAAATATCCTGTCCATAACTGAAACCCATCTAGCCAATTTAGATAAATTGCATATTCCTATTTTCAAAATTTATAGATGGGATTTATAGAAATCGAAATGGAGGAGGGGTCATGTTTATCATAGGCAAATCTATCAAACAATCTTTCTGTCCACTACCTTCTTTAAAATCTTTTGAAGAGATTTCCATTAATGTACACTTAATGAATAATTGTACAGTCACTATAATATCACTATACCTACCACAAAAAAAAATCTTTCTGTTATAAGGACTTAAAAAAATATGATCAAAATCAAACGAGTGGGTAATTATCATGGGAGACCTAAACAGTAGAAATAAACTATGGAATTGTCATGTTACCGATAAAAATGGAAAATTACTTTTAAATACCGCCACACATTTAAAACTACAGATACTTTTTCCCGACAACTCTATATACTATCCCACAAACGGCCGATCTAAACTAAATGGCCCAGTACACTTGGTTGACCAATTTTAACATACGCCTGACCCATATGGAGCTTTACTAATAGAACTAACATAAAAAAACTTCTAATTTTTCAAAACAAATGCCTCAGTGGTCAATAATTCTCTCTATTATACCAAAATAACTAAGATTCACTCAGAATTAGATCTGCCCTACATACAAAATTACATTTACAAAACAACCCTAACCTTCTTCCAATTTCAAGAACATTCATTAAATTGCTTAATAGCTGAAATAGGGAATCATTATATAAATAGGCAAACAAAAAATGAATCAGCCCCTTTTTCTCTTCTCTTATTCAACCGATTTTCTTCCTTATTTTTTTTTTTAATAGCTATTGACGAGTTTTAGTGGTATCAATAAATAAAAATATTTATGTAAATAAAAATATAAATGGTAGTTTGTTCAAAATAGCTAATCTCCCAAAGTTCTTCACCGATTTCTTTAAAATTTGGCAAAATGTCACAATAATATTTAGAAGTGTTTTTGTAAATGTTTCATTATCATCAGGTCTTTTCTTTCGAAATAGTGGGCGAAAAACGTGATTCCCTTTAGACTGTAGTGCCAATATGGCTGCAACAATTTTAATGAAACTTGGATATGAATCTTCAGTCAGACTAAAGTCTTCCTCTTGAAACATTTATAATTTATCTATATAACGTACTTTACCGAAAACAAGCTGCATAAATTTTTATGATGAATTCAGTATTTTATTTGTGAATAACTCAAAAAGTACATATTTCTTTATTGATAATATCAATATTTATTTGAAAGCTTCCCGAATTATCTAAAAAATAAAAAAAAAATAAATCATCGAAATTGATAAGAAATATCTCCGGATTGAAAGAATTCGTAGCGGCCGTAGGTGTATAGTGGGTTCAAATATTTTTTTAAGGATGAACAAAGTTAAGATTTTTATTTTGCACCTCGATAAACCTTCAATTACCAATTATCACTGGAATCGAAAAATAAAAATTTTTTGTGTCAAATTTTCAAAGCAGAGGGGCCTTTTTTTCTAAAAATCACAAAAGTTATCATAACTTCAATATGGCTCAAGTTATCCAAACAAAAATTTGTATCCATTTAGGGTCCTATAATATACACGAAATGGTGTAAACCAGAGGTCCGTAAATAAATTAGGCTTGGAGATAAAAATAAAAATGTGTTCGTAGTTTTTCTTTCTTTATTCCTTATGAGGGCTTTAAATATAAAAGTTGTTCATTAGGCTTAAAGAGCAAAAATTCAGCTTTCCAACGGTCATACAAACATTGAATTAGGAGAAAATCATGGGAAGTTATGAGCTATTTAGTGAAAAGCAGGTAAAAAGATTATAATAGCTAGTGGTTTGGTATCCATGGTAACCAGATAACCTCATCCACCAATATCATTATTTTATAAATAGGCAAACACAAAACGGTTCAGCCCCTTTTTCTCCTCTATTTCATCAAAATCGGACTATTTGTTACAAAGATATATCATTTTAAACATTTTCTCTCTTTTTCTTTTGCAAAGACAATTTCCACTATTTTGGTTTTTGATAAATTGAAAACTTTTCATTTAATGAAGTAATCGAACTATTACTTTAAGAGATGATATTATTTAATGTTAGTGGAATGTTACCTCATAAATTAAATTTAAAAGTGAATAATATAGTTTTACTCATTCTTAACTTAAATACTGCACAAGCGTTAGTTAATGGATCACGAATGAGAGATACTTAAAGTTAAAGAATTTTAATTCCAAGAATTAATTTTATATTTTCTGACACAATACTTAATTATATGTTTTCCTCAAATTATTAATGGTTATGGCCGAATTTCGACCACTGGGCGATCACTAGTTATACAAAAACAGTAACATCAAAATATAAACATTAGAGAACATATTCTGATATAAAATAGTCTATATTTTATTTTATTGCAAATAGTATTCTTTTTTTTTTATAGTGTTTATTTTTTACCAATAAATGTAATATATTTTATTTGTAACATATTGTATATATATAGATGTATTGTATTGACAATACAGTTTCTCTCTATGGTGCTCTTCATTTTCTGGCAGTATGTCTTGTAATCTTGGTCTCTTATTCTGTGAGACCCTTTGTTAAAGTGGCCTGATTGGTGTTATCGCTACTTTCCAAGCTTGAAAAGAAAAGTTGAAAGCTCATAGGGTTTTAATCTTAATGAATTTAACTTAAAAAAAAAAATTAAATTATTGTACATTTTCATAATCAAATATATTTTTTATGTTTGTTGTAACAATGTGAATATATTTCCAAAATGTAAAGTGAATATATTATTTTCCTGTTGATATTAACAAGGTGTATTTATTTTTGAAATATAATGTAAATAAATAGATAAGAAAAAAAAGTAAGATTCCATCCTCGACTCGAGCCTTTTACTACCAAGCTCTTAAGAATCGAGCCTTGGCCGAGTCCAGAAAGCAGAGCCTTTACGCCTCAAGCCTTAACGGCCCCTTACTCAGTCAATATTATTGAGTCAATATCGAATTTCATTAATATACTGACCACGTAAGATCTACATTGGCATTAATTATATTGACTTCAATCAAACTGGTTGATATAAATTTTTTATATTTTTATTGAAACACTTGCAATATAATTGTAAAGGCCTATAAAAAAGATATAATACTACTAACAAACATCATTTATACAGTTTACTCTATTACAACAATTTAAAAAGGTCCATTAATAAACATATGGTAAAAAACAAGTAAGGTTCGAGTCAAAACTCGAGCCTTTTACTGGCAAGCTCTTAGAACTTGAGCCTTGGCCGAGACCTTTTCGGCTCAAGCCTTACAGCCTTTGACAGTAGATTATGAGAACAGAAGGTAAAAACAGAGAGAAATTATGTGTATATGAATACACACATATATATATATATATATATATATATATATATATATATATATATATATATATATATATATATATATATATATATATATAATTTCATTGAATATTTTTTTCTAACTTACTTAATGGAGACATTAATCAATAAAAAAAATGCATCTTATCATATTCATACAATTTATTGTAATATTTATATTTTTTATTTATCTGTTTCTTAACAATTCTTTTCTAGTTACAACTTTTACCAATATCAGTCAATAGATATATATACACATTTCTTGACCACAGATCGAAGAAGCACCTGAGACTAATCAATAAATATTGGTCGAAATCTTCAGTGTCTATACGTAAAGAAGAAAATACTAGACATTCGCTCGATCAGGCTATTACAATGTTGGATTTTAAGGTAATTTAGTTTAATTTAATTATAGTAGACTTCTGTTTATCTGTCCCAGTCGATACCAAGAGACTGCTATTAAAGGTGGAGAGTTACTTAATACTAGAGTGTTTAAAAAGAGAAAACTCTAATATGTTCTTCCCTCCCAAGTGCTATTTTAAGGATATTGGAAAACTTGAGACATACATTGAGAAAAACTGAGATATTACATGTTAAAATATACTTGAGATAGGAGTTCTTAGTACATTCTACATTACATTCCTACATGTTTACATAAAGATACTTCATAATTTGTATTTGTTATAAATTATATTTATAAAGGACAAAATACTTTCTTTATTAATCCAACAGCATCCAACACTATTTTTTACATCATTTGTCCTTGCGTCAAAAAAAGATTGACAAGGCCTCATTTAAAGAAACAAAATAAATTGTAAATAATGAAAATTAACTAATAAATTAACGTTATTTTAACCCTGATTTTTGTCCTCATCAATACCCTGTTTTTTACTTTCACTTATCGATATATGAAATTTATAGTAAGGGTAAGTATTGCGATCATGAAAATTTTCGAATCTGAGTTTTCAACAGAAATACACATTTTGAGATCTCCTGAGTACAAATAACCAAGTCCCGAAAAATGGTCTGTGTGTGTGTATGTGGACAGGCTAGCTCAAAAAACGAAAGAAACGAAACTGATATTTCGTATTTAAGATAGGTATATGACAGATGTTACAGCAACTTTTTACTTAAAATCGGCTTTCCAGAAGTGCCACTTAATATCAAAGGTGAAACATATTTTTATAATTTTCTCAAAAACGGCTCCAACGATTTTGATTAAACTCAGTGTATCATTGTGTAAATAACATGTTAAAGTTTAATTTTAAATAATTAGTTTTGGCGGGAATTGCGAATAGCCTTCCGCTTTTATATCGGGGAACTAGGTTATTTACACTCGTGAATATTAAAACAAAACCTCGGCACTGAATATAGATTTTTTTTAGGGTGTTTAACTGTTGTTGGGAATTCGGGAATCTAATACCTTTTGTGACACTGCGTGACAAGAAACAATAAGAATATATATACACTGACAAGCAAAAAATTCCACCCACTTGATTTTTCCATGTTTTCATATAAACATATCTCTGTAAAGTTGTATTTGTATATAATACATGGTATTTGTAGATAATACTTAGTATTTATGGAATTTTATAATCTTTTTTACCTTTAATAATCAAAATGTGATTGGGTAAGAAAGATTAGAGAAAAGAAAATTGAAAAATGACCCATTATTATTCTAAAAGAAATTAGTTTAGTAGTGTGTGTTTCCTCCTCTTGCCTTCACTACTTCTTGAAGACACCTCGGCATACTTTCCACCAGTCGTGAAATATCCCTTTGCTGGAGGAAAACCCATTCCTCCCGAAAAGCCCTTTCAAGGTCCTGTAGCGTATCAGTAAGTGTTGCACGCACTCTTCTTCGTCTTCCGAGGTTATCCCATAAATGCTCAATGGGGTTCAAATCTGGAGAACGTGCTGGCCAGGCTAAAACCTCAATATTGTTCTGTTGAAGGAACGTCTGCACTATGCGGGCAACATGTGGGCGTGCATTATCGTACGAACGATAACGAACGATCGCCGATTTCGTTGAGGATAGGCAACACCGAGGTTCCAAAATATCATCTTGATAGTGAATGGCCATCAAAGACCCTCCACAAACAACAACCAATCCCAGCCCACACCATTAAGGAACCACGTTGGAAAGATTGGCTCTGGGAAAAATTACAGGCTGTATATCTTTCGTTTCTTCTTCTCCACACCCTTTCACGCCCGTCTGGAGATCGAAGAGCGAATCTTGACTCATCTGTAAAAAGTACAGCACTCCATTCGTCCATAGTCCAATGGATGTGTTCTCGAGCGAACCCAGCCGTGTTACTCTGTGAGTTCTGGTCAACTCTGGTCCTCTTATTGGACGAAAAGCCATTAATCCATACTCATTTAATCTTCTCCGAGCGGTACGTTCAGAAATTTGCACACCTCGAACTTCTTTGAGCTGATGAATCGTTTGAACAACGGTAAGGTGCCGGTTTCGTAAAGTCAAATTCTCAAAGTCAAAAACCGGTCATCCTGTGGTTCTGTTACCCTAGGCCGTCCAGAACCGGGCCTTCTATTGTAAGAACCAGTTTCCCGAAAACGCCTGACGGCGTCTCGAAATGTTTCATATAGAACTCTGATGGAATTAGCTGCATATCTAATGGAACGTCCATCACCAATAAGTGAAGTGCCACACCACGCGCAACATCCTCAGCACTAAGAGGCATTTTTAACCTTAATATTGAAAAAATTAAAAGCCGGAGACTAAGAAATGTGCTGCAAGAAATGGCACTGAACTAATGATACTGAATAAACATTTTGATTCCATAGAAAGTAAACATTGGAATCTAGAATCATTTCATTAAATTAAGGATTAAGGGTTATTGTCCTCTATATTAACATTCCTAATTGAAAACAAACAAAAAGATTACCTATTTATTCATTAAAAACAATAGACCAATCCAAAGAAATATTTTTAGATGAAAACATGAAAAAGTCAAGTGGGTGGAATTTTTTGCCTGTCAGTGTATATAATGTGGGACTGAGTAAATACACTTTGAATGAATTGACTCACCTTGTTTATTATTCTTCAATTGTGAGGCCTATAGGCCAACTAAATAAAAGGACTATTCACTCCTGTCTAACAAAACAATTTATTTTAACAACTGATAATAAATGAATATATTAAAGTCTTATAACTGTAGGCTTGATATTCTTAGTCTTCAATGTCCTGCCTCTCTCTTCTGACAACTTCGTTTCTTCCTGTCCCAGCCTGAAGTCCTCTCGCCTCCGTGTCTCAGCCTCAAGTCCTCTAGCCTCCATGTCATAGCCTTAAGTCCTCTCAGCCTCAAGTTCCTTCGTGTCCTTCTCCAGCCGTTGCTACCTGCTTGGTCCTTTCGGTATCTCCAACCTTCTTTCTTCTTCATCGATATGAGACTTTTTAATGAATAATTTGTCCACTGCACAATTGAGTACAATTCATCGTGCAACCTCACATTCCTATATATTCCTTCTCATTCCCTCACACAATGGAGTAAATACAGGGGGCTGTCTACTACAATTGTATAATTAAGTGGTCTGTAATATCATTTAGGTCTTATCCCCATTGATGTCACTTTACAGGGCTTGAATGCCCAATGTTGATGTCTTCCTCTAAAGTACATTTAATTTGGTTTATTTTAAATAATTAACTATTTTTCATTAACATATTGTAACGTTTCTCTTTCCCTCCAAAATCAAACAACGAGTTTCCTTTTTCAATATACTATTTATTTTGACATATAACATAAATCTCAGGTTGGGTTCTGACAACTGAACACTCATTCAACATTAAATAACTATAATTTACTAATTACTAAATACACTAATTATACATATAAAATTTATTATTGTTCTCAAAAACCTTGATTGTCCCAGTCTAAACTTTGTGGCTCTTTCTATTTTCTCAGCTTGCTGGCTAGTACCTTCTCTCTTGACAGCTTGTCACATTTCCTCTTGGGGGCTCATAACCTTCTCTCTTGGCCGCTATCACCTTCTCTCCTGGTGGCCAGTCACATTCTGAGTTAAATGAGGCTTGCTTCCCCCACCATCCGCACGCACTTTCTCCCCATAGTTCCTGCTGTTACCACTTTTGCGCCACTATTTAAATGCCATGTAAAGAGGACCCTACAGGGTAATTCATGAATGAACGTCACAAGAAGTTTCAAGATTGCCCGCTATCACTTTGATCATGAAGACTCTTGCACGTTCAATTATTACTGATCATTACTTATCGTTACTGATTTAGGTTAGATCGTTGCTGACCAATTTAGAGCAGTTGTAAACAAAGAAACAGTATAGATATGCTTATTTGGACATTGTCATTTATAATATTGGGCATCAAGAGAAAACCGGAGATATAATAATTACTTCCTAGTGTCTGAAAATCGTTTAGACCAAAGTTAGTCCAAAATATAAGTCAACTACATACAAAAATTTAGGAAAAATATTGCGAAAATAACCAATTTGTTAAGAAAAATGGAAAAATTAATGACAAATAAACACAACAGTTAAAGATTTGTTTCTATAAGTAAATTGTGAAGTTTCCATTTTTTTTTCTCTCCAATTTATTGCCTACTTGACTATTTAAAGAAAAAATAGCTGAAAATGGTTAATAATAATATAGAATAGGTATATAAACAACTATTTACTTTTATGAAATTATTTACTTAATAAGGAGATCTAGGTAAACTAACCTATCTAGTAGTTAGGTTAGTCTCATGGAAAATCGTTTTGACAAAAGTTAGTAAAATATAAGTCTACTACCTACAAAAATTAAGGAAAGATATTGCGAAAATAATAAATTTGTTGAGGAAAATGGGAAAAGAACTGATAAATATACACAACGATAAAGTTTTTTTTTTTCCTAAAGTAAATTGTGAAGTTTCCTCTTTTTTTTTTTTAATTTGTTGCCCACTTGACTATTTAAAAGAAATAGTTGAAGATGGTTTATAATTATAAACAAGGGATATGAAAAATTATTTAACTATTTATATATAATGAAAATCAGAAATTCATAATGGTTGTGAGGCCTAGGTAACCTAACCTAGGTGTAAACTTGAACTATTCTGCTCTATTACTTTCTTCCATCTCTCAGAAAGTCTCTTATATCCTTTTTCCAAAATTGTTGAGAGTTACTTGCAAAATATTCATCGAGATGCATTTTATTTTGCTTTTGGATTTGTGTCATTTATCATGGAGAGAATTTTTTAATGAAAGAAACAAGTAATAATTTGAAGGACGAGATCTGGGGAGTACAGAAGATGAGGGAGAAAGTCTCTATCAAACTAAAAGTTTCTGTCTTATTGCCAATGCCGCATGTTGCGTAAGCACCTCATTATATGCTAATGATATAGTTCTTTGGTGTAAGACTACACCAGTTGTACCCACTAAATATGATTGCAAGTTACACTTGATGGCCCTCTTCTTATGGATTGAAAAATGAGGACTGGAGATAAATACAGGAAAAAAAGTACATCATCTTCAGCGTTTCAAAAAACATTCCTGAATCCATTAATCTAAAGCTAGGTGCATGTTTGATCATAAAATATGACTCACCCAATCACCTTGGAATCAATTTAGACCTCAGATTAACATTGATATTGATTAGTGCATCATGAAGACAACCAAAAAGATCTTATAAGGATCAATTTTATGAGGATGTTATCCTACTCCAAATTGAGGAGCAGATCATAAGATCTTAAAGTCTCTTTATACAGAATATGTCAGGCCAATGCTTGAGTATGAAATAATCAGCTTGGGAGCAAACTCCAATCTCTTAAAAACCTCTGTTGGTCAAAATCAGAGCTTAAGGATAATTACTGGAGATCTAAAATATACTTTGATAAATAAAATGTAGTCCGTTATTGACCTTTTCAAACTAGAGAATAGAACAGATATTAATATGCTGAATATGGACTCAAAAGCAAAATGTATCTCATCATCTGCTGAAGAATAATGTAGGTCAAAGGATATGGAATCTAATCAAAAGGCAAAGCTTCCTACACAAAACATGACCAATAAAATCTGAACTTAAGTTAGAAGAATCTAGCCCAAAATGAAGAAGGTTACAGATGACTCCCCACTTCAGGCAAATCCTTGCAAACTCCATATTCTCATCGATTTGGGGTATTAAAAAGAAGAGTGACCTGAATCAACTCGAAATCAGAGATGAAACACTCGAATATATAAATTCCATCTACCCAAAAAACATGTGAACCAGAACCTATATGGATACTTTAGCAGAAAACTCTATTATGAATGGAGGCAGAGATATCCACATAGAATTTCTAAATGGCTAGGCACTTGAGAAAGTGATTGCCACGGTGTCCAACTCAACAAACTATAGAACCGAGCAAGAATCAATACTGAAGGTAGATAGAATTCAAATAGAGAGGTCTCAGACATCAAAAATTGTTTTGACCAAACGCAGCATTGGTACTTTTGAGCCAAGTGGAAAGCGGGGCTGTTGTTGCTTGCCACTGAATTAAAACGCCTCACAACTAACTATGAAGAAATCATCCTACTGTGGATCCCTTAGGAATTTAAAATAACTGAAAATAAATTAGCAGATAAACTTGGAAATGAAGGTTCCAAATTACCTCAAATCACCTCCATAGGAATTAGGAAGCTAAAACGATAAATAAAGCATTGATTCAACATCCAGACTTCAAACCCCAGGATCCATACTACTCACTTTTAAGGTAGGAACAAGTTTTAATTTTCCAACTTAAAACTGGACATAACAGGCTTAACTCACACCTCTACAAAAAATTTAAAATTGTCCAATTCCTTTATGTGAACATGGAAGGGGCGAGAACACATTCTCCAGTCAAGTATCCTAATGAAGGAACAACGGAAGCAGAGTTGGCCTGAACGAACTTCTTTGGTGACCAAACTATACAGTGACCTGGAGGATCTCAAGAGTAATCCTGTCATTATCTGACATCCATTTGAATAGAAAGAATGAAGAATAAGAAGAATTTTGGAGCTGTTTTTGTCATTCTTTGCGAATTCTTTTCCCATTTTAAACATCATAATATAATAGTGATAATATACGATAGTCACATCACAATATTAAATTAATAAATGTCTTTTTGTTTTTTCCAGTCAGATAGTTGTAATACAAAAGATTTTTACTCAGAAGTCAAATATGTTCAACCAAAAAAACGTGACAAAGAACGCTCACTACCTGGTCAAGAAAGTAAGAGACCATCTACTAAACGTCAATCTACTGTATCAATTAATTCCACAAAACGTAAGAATGTATTTATTTTCATTTAAATTGATCAATTTATACTATATAATGGATAATAAACAGGAAAATATTGTAGTGATTTTTGAAGGTTTTTGTTGAGAAATCATTATATGTAATATATTCTTTTAAGTATTTCTCATTATTTGTTAAATTTAGTATTAAAATGGTTTGGTATATAAAAAATTATAAAAATAGTGAAAGTTATTCTGAAGATCTTGATGACAATAAAGTACAAATTCATTCTAGATAATTTGCTACTTGTTTTTATAGATGAGATTCAATAGAACCTTTCACGGGCTATATAATCCTCTTTAGGTTCATAGTCCATTAATAAGCTAATGAAGTTAGTATTGTTGGTCTTTAAACAGTTAAATATTAATCAATATATGGCCAGTCTTATCGATCCTGAGTTCTTCAAGGTGTGAGGTCTTCAATAGAACACTAGTTGTGAATAGCTATCAGTGATAAGGTTATATTGTTTTATGTTTATAGTGACTGAATTTGTTTCACATTAGTTGTCAAGTAAAGATTTTAATTGGATTTATGCCAAATACAAGGTCCCATTTAAGGATTGTATTATAAAATAATAATTTAAATTATAATCCACTGATAAAAGTAATCAATAAATTATTAAATTTGTTGTTAGTTTTAATCAAAACTGCGTACAAAACATATTATTATAATATACTGTAATATAAATGGAAGTAATATTGATTTAAATTAGCGTATCAAATCGTGTTAGCAGAAACTCATCAGATGCGACAACACACTGTGCACATTCCTGTGCTTTATAAATATTTTGTCACCCATTAAATATTTTAGTCACTCTTCTCTTGTTTCAGTAGGGCCAATTTTTTTCATTATTAGCAACTTTATTAATAGATGGAATTTGATGTTACTGGATGGAATATACTGGCTGATTGATTAAAAAAATTTATTTATGTATTTTAAGTTATTTTCACTTAAAAAATAAAATAAATTTTTTTATTTATAGGTTCTCCAAGTGCAACATCAATACTCGATAAAAGTTTGTTTAAACCAAAGTATTCTATAAAAATGACTCCTACTCCAAATCATCAATATACTAAAAAATATCCAAAAAATCCCTACAAAGGAAGATTTATCATTTCTGAAATCTATAGCAGGTAATATTTAGTAACTATTTTTTTAAATGATAATAATTATATTGTGAAATATTATTTTTTTTTTCTTCCTCTTTCTTGCCTTTTAGACTATAAGAGTTTTTCCCATGCCAGGAGAGAGAGGGTGAAAGATTTAAGCCAGATTTAAAAGTCCTTCTGGCATCGGGACATGAACTGGGTAGTTTTTTTCCCCCACAGGAATGTACCGCATTCTCAAAGAAGGCATATTGTGCTTCGTCCAAACTATTAAAACAGGCCTTTGTGACACTGTTAATACTAATAAGATCTATTAGTTCGCAGCTCTTAGGTTCAGTGATACGATCACATCCAAAATGAAAATATCGCTGTCTTAGCAAATTATCACATCCACAAATAATTTGATAGGCTGTTTCATCCTCCAGACCACACAGCCTGCAGGTGTAGGTGTCACTTGTACCCAAATTAAAGAGGTGCTTATTTAGTTGACAGTGACCAGTCCAGTGTACAGTCCTGTCACACACCTAATGGTGCACCTGTCCATTAGAAGTAATTTGCTTATCTTGTGACGGAACTCTACTAGGAACAACTTAGAATGAGTTTGTTTCCTAGTCTGTTCCCATTGTAGCTTATATTTGTTACCCACAATTGCCTTAATGTGCTTTTGGTGAAATCAAGTCTTATCCCACAGACGGGCTGTGGTACAACCGGCCCTTGTGCTGAGCTTTTCCTAGCAAGTCAATCGGCTTTCTCATTTCCTGGAATGCCTGAGTACCCAGGCACTCATTCTACCCTCACCTTGTTGAAACTAAAGAGAAGATTTAAATTAACTTTACATTTATCTATCAACTTGGAATGAGTTGGATGAGGACAACAGTCACATAGAGGCTTAAGGGTCTCATCGCATTTCTATATAGCCATAGGGCCATACTGGGTTTTAGTCCCCATGATTTGCCAACAACTCTTCTGCACACCTATAAACAGTGTATTGTCTTACTACTAATCTTTTCAATAGCGAGTTTAACTTACTATCTAGAATAAAACAAAAATGTTTTACTTCACTACAGATAGTTAATAATGGTGGTATAATATTGATATTCCTTCTGTTAGTGAAGATCATATATTTATCTTCTGCAGATTTATGCTAAGACCATTGTCCTGGCACCATTCTTTTAAAAGTCTCAAAGTGTTTTCGAGCAATCCAGAGATTGTATCTGGAGATTTACCCCTATCAATATCGTCAGCATATCTCTGAGAATAAAAACCTGCCGCATTCAATTTATCAATCAGGGAGTCGATGATCAGACATCACAAAAGTGGAGACAATACACCCCCCTGTGGACACCCTCCAACAGGTTTAACCCACAGTACGGATTGTCCTAGCTCAGATTTAAGGACACTCTCCCTCAGAACCGAGTTAACCCATTCCGAAGCCAAGACTCCGACCCCTCTACTATCCAATTTTCTAGCCATTTTATCAAGAGTATGATCAAAGGCACCTTCAATATCGACAAAGATACCTGCCATAATCTCTTTCTACGATAAGCTTTTCTCGATTGTAGAGACCAAGTGATGCAACGTTGTTTCATAGTATTTGTCGGCTTGATAGGCTGGATAGGAGTTGAGCCAAATGCCATGAGTTTCTAATAGTCTTAGGATAGTATTTGACTTCTTCCTCGAGGTGTATGCAGTATCTACTCCAATTTGTTCATTTTGGGTTTCTGTATAGTCTCAGTTGTGACGGGCATTGACATCCAGTACTGCTATTACTGCATCCCTCTTCATCCTTTCTGCCAGGCTTCTTAGAGCCACTGTTGAGATGTCCTCTTCATAGGGGAGATACACCACTGTCTCTATTATCCTTTCCCCATCTTTACCTTCAGAAAGGGCTAATTGAGTTGAAGCCAAGTCTCTGAAACAATGATGCCACAGAGACATCAGCTTAATTCTGTTCTTGAACAGGACACAGGTTCTCATACATTCTTGCACTGCAATAATGCAGGCACCCCAGCCATAACCAGGTAGTCCACAGTACACCAGACCGTTACAGTAAATGTGGAGGAGAACAAATATGTAACTCAAGAGTTCGTTTTTTTTAGTTGAAGGAAATAGCAGAGATAATTGAATTACTTGAGGATGGATATAATTTGATGGATAGTTTAGGTGATTGGGTAGTTGTTCAGGAGAAGGTAAGGAGGTCATTGTTGATGGCGGATGGAACATTGTTGGGGTGTAGATGATACTGGGAATGTTGTATAGAAAGTCGTCATTGATAAAGATGGAAAATAGGGTGAAGGATAAGAGAAACCTTGAGGTATTCCTCTGGACAAGGTTAGATCACCAGAGGAGATTTTATTAGGAACAATAATGTATTAGGAATGATGAGTGAGGAATTATCAGAACCAATGAGATTGCAATAATGATGGTAGAATAAATGGAATAACATCGCATAAAACTGGACTTTAGGGAATTTATAAGGTTATTCTGTTCCAAAAAAGTGGGATAGTTGGTTGAATAAATGGGGTTTAAGGAGGTTTACATTAGAAGAGTTTGCGAATAATTTCCTAATCTTTTGAATGTCGAGTGTATTTAACCATTGTCTTTCTGCATCTCTTTTTTACATTCCTTCTCTCAGTGTGTGAATCAGTCAGAAGGCTGGGGTATGTCAGATTGTCCTTGCTACAAGATGAATATGAATGAAGGTCAAGAATAGTGTGATTAGATAGAGTGATCAGAGTTTCTACCGTGGCATTGATGGAACAAGGAATAAATGAGATACCACTGGATAGTGTTGAGATCTGGTGAAAAGTTATGAGAGGCTTTGGAAGGATATTGTTTAAAGGAAAAAGAATAGAACTAGGGCATTGTAGGTAATTTTATTAAGATCATGAACAGATAGAAAGTGAAGAGGGAGGAGTATTGTATCAAGCGAGGAGCTTATGAATATAAAGAGGAATCCAGAATATAAAAATCGAGTCAAGAATGCAAACCTGTTGTCAAGGGTTATGTTGAAGGAGACTGAAGAGAGGTTCAGAGAGTGAAGAATGCTTATTCGGTAACTGATCAAAGAAAGGCTTAATAGATTTGAGGTCATCAGAAAAGATGAAATTTGAGTGTTGAGATCTGGTGAAAAGTTATGAGAGGCTTTGGAAGGATATTGTTTAAAGGAAAAAGAATAGAACTAGGGCATTGTAGGTAATTTTATTAAGATCATGAACAGATAGAAAGTGAAGAGGGAGGAGTATTGTATCAAGCGAGGAGCTTATGAATATAAAGAGGAATCCAGAATATAAAAATCGAGTCAAGAATGCAAACCTGTTGTCAAGGGTTATGTTGAAGGAGACTGAAGAGAGGTTCAGAGAGTGAAGAATGCTTATTCGGTAACTGATCAAAGAAAGGCTTAATAGATTTGAGGTCATCAGAAAAGATGAAATTTGAGTGTTGAGATCTGGTGAAAAGTTATGAGAGGCTTTGGAAGGATATTGTTTAAAGGAAAATGAATAGAACTAGGGCATTGTAGGTAATTTTATTAAGATCATGAACAGATAGAAAGTGAAGAGGGAGGAGTATTGTATCAAGCGAGGAGCTTATGAATATAAAGAGGAATCCAGAATATAAAAATCGAGTCAAGAATGCAAACCTGTTGTCAAGGGTTATGTTGAAGGAGACTGAAGAGAGGTTCAGAGAGTGAAGAATGCTTATTCGGTAACTGATCAAAGAAAGGCTTAATAGATTTGAGGTCATCAGAAAAGATGAAATTTGAGTAGTAAGTGATTAAATTATAAAAGGTGGTCTCCAACATTTCTTTAATTTGTGCTCTAGTAAGGCTATATACGGTATAAAAAAGAAGATGGTGGTGATTTTGACAAAAAAAAAATATTCAAGGTGGAGGAAATCAGAAGAGAGAGACCAAAGGAGGATTTTGAATTTAAGTCTATAATGAACAAAAAGACCTCCACCACTACCAGTTTTATCAACTCTATCATGAGAAAGAAGAATATTGTGTTTTGTATATGGTGCTATAGTAAGGAGTTAGTGACTAAACTGTCCCAAGGTTCCTGCCTGTAAGATTAACACTCTTCCTTGAAGGGTTATAATAATACCACAATACATTAAATCCTTCATCATTCATGCTGTCTCCTTTTGGAACTCTCTACCTAACTCCATACATCAATCCTCATCTACAAATTCCCTCAAATAATTCCTGTTCCACTCCCTACTCCATATTCTAACTTCCACAAACATGTAAAATTCACTTGAGTCTGTACAAAGTCTAATTCAATCAACTGTTCTGTTGCAATAACAATCAACAGTTAATTAGGCATAATTTTGTATTCATCTAATCTAGACTAATGTTCTTAATTATGTAGCTCTGTTATTATTCTTAGGGGACTGTAGTCCCAGAATAAAATTATTTTTTCATTCATTTACGCTAGCAAATTAGAGTTGTCATATTTAAATTTATTTCTCTAAATATGATGAACCAATATATGTATTATTTTCTATATTTTACTTTGGTTTAGTATTTCAAATAACTTTTTATTCATCTCTGATTTTGATATTTTAATAAATGCATCTTTATAGTAAAAGATTTATTCACATCTCTTTTGACTAATTATAATTTTAGATTTGATCATACTCGTTGCATTGCTGCTAATTACCAGTGGGTTGCTATGAGTAATAAATCAAACATAACATTGCATAGTTTGTTGACTGGAGCTCCAAACCCATGCCAGTTAATAGGTCATACTGGTTATGTAACTGTATTATGTTTTCATCCTTCTAAAAACTGTTTATTTTCTGGAAGTTGTGACACCACCGTTAAGTATGTATATATCTCAATTTAATAAAAACACATATATTTTAGTTATATTGATGTGAAGCTAAATTTAAAATACTTAAAGAGAAATACTTTATTAAAAGCAATGCTGCCCTACTACATAGGGTTGCTTCGTACACAGCATACTTATCAATCCATACGGACATTAATTTTATATTACATTTTTTCTATTTTATATATATATATATATATATATATATATATATATATATATATGACATATCTTCCTTCCTTTTTTTTCTCCTCTTTCATAACAATACTCTTACTAATCATTAACAATAAATCATATTAAACAATAGACATAGCATAGTAAACATTTTCCCCAGATAAAAACAATAAAAAAAACAACTTATTTTTCATTTTAAATTCTCAAACACCAGGATCTCAATACAACATCGCACACATATATAACACAGCGATTCCTTGAATATAGACAAAAAGATAAGACGATTATTGACCAATTTAAAATTTAATAAACTATCAATACAAGACGTCCTCAATCAGTATAAAGATGATAGTGGATGATCCCCAAGGAGTCTAAAATAATATTTTCAGCCAATATCGCTAGCTCCCCAACATCAACACCTAGTTCCTCGAGGAAGTTCCTTGTTCTTTCCGGGATCGTTCCGCGAGACCCAAACCAGAGGCCTCTCACAGTGAACTCTATCTCTCTGAAGATCTCGCGGAATTTCTCTTTTAGGAAAGGGATGCATTTTTCGTATATATTCCTCTTTTACCTTTCCACTTCACCCACCTGATCGAGGTCATTGCTCTCAAAGCGGACAGTTGGATCCAAGATTAGCGCTGTCCCTCCTGTCCTGGGAAACGCGACAATATCCGCATACCTTGTAGAGCCTTCACTGTCTATGCAATAGTCAAGCAGGCGAATTCCTTTTCTCTAAGGAGCCTCATCACCTTTTCTGTCATAGAGCTCTCGAGCTTCGGTGGCCCTGATCCACTCCCAGTCTTTCTTCACATCCTGCGATTTCTGCATTATAATCAAATGTGGACTGGAACAGGGCATCCGGTACATTAGACAGCCGGTGGGCAATGGACCAATGCTGCAAAGGAACCTCCCATTGGCAGCGGATCAGTCCCAATCCACGAAACCTCCTCGGTGCATAGAACATCGCCGTTGATGCATTAGCAGGGAGCGGCTACTCCTGATACTCCTGCGAATATTTTTATCGATTGTTTCCAATATCGCAGGACGTATCTTTGAGAGGGGCACGGTCTGGAGAGGGTAAGTAAATCCTGGGAACACGTACTGGTTTCTAACGTTCATCTTCTGCTCCGGTTTAAGAAGGCAAGAGCTAACCAATTTGTCCAAGTTGTTGTTTAATTTGGTCACCATTTCCTCATTTAATACTAGCTCTCCCGAGAACGCACATCCTAAATATTTTATGGTTTCACCAGACTTTGTTGATGCTATAACTTCTCCGTTCTCTAGGGAGAACTTTGTTTGTTGTAGCTATCCTTTCTCAACTATTAAGCCCACGCTTTTCTGAGAATTTATTGCTAGACAAATCTTGGCAAGGATCCGCTGCACACCAGCTCTAATTATCGTAGAACCTAGATACCTAAATTTATCTACCTGTTTAAACATATTACCATCTATGTCGATATCACCAGTAGTATCGCCATTTTTGCAGCTAACCATATATTTTTTTTTATCCATGTTTATTTTAAGTCCTAGTTCTTTACCGGCTTTCATTAATGTTGTCGTATTTAGTTTTATAGTTTCAACGTCTTCGCTTGATAGTACCAGATCATCCGCATAGCCCAGCATGGATGTTGTCCCACCCAGTTCCAACCCTTTCTTGGTACGCATTACCTCCCATGTTCTAATGCCAAATTGAACAGGAACAGGCGAAAGGGACTCCCCCTGTTTTAAACCAGAACGAACCTCAAATTTTTCGGACAGATTATTACCGATTCTAACTTTATTGAGTGTCTCCGTCAAGCACATCCTGACTAGATTTACTAATTTTTTAGGAATCCCCTGCTCGATTAGAATATTATACAGTTTCTGGCGGTCAATAGAATCGTAAGCCTTTTTAAAATCTATATACAGCTAGTGAACAATACTGTTGTACTCCAATTTTTTCTCTAATATTTGCCGTAAAGAAAATATTAGATCAATAGTCGAACGATTCCGTCTAAATCCGCATTGGTAGTCTCTGATAATTTCCTCGGCGTATTCCGTGATTCGACTGGTTAAGATTAAAGTGAATAGTTTATAACATACCGGAAGGAGTGAAATTCCTCGATAGTTTTTACAATCCGTCCTTGGACCCTTTTTGTGAATCGGAATAAGAATAGATTCTTTCCATTCTTCAGGTAATTTCTCATTCACCTATGATATATGATACATCAAAGAATTTAATCATGCGGACTAAAACTCCGTCTGGCCCTGGTGATGTGTCCAATGACGTGGATTTTATTGCCTTTTTTATTGCTTGGACATCGATGAATGTTAGATTTGGCGTCGGGGCACAATTTTTTTAATCCACACGTTTGCAGAGATTTTCTTTCTCAGAGGCTTCTGAAGTGGCCTTCGATCTCGGCTATCTTCCTTCTTAGCTTATAGAACTTAATGGCAGGGTGTTGTGGACCAGGCAATTCTTCGTTGATGGTTTTTAGAAATTTTAGAAAATTTCCCACTGCCTCGTCGAATTCCACATTATCCACATTGTTTTGCTGAACAAATTTCTGGAAGGTAGCAGACCATTTTGCTATTTTAGACTCGAACGGATGAGAAAAAACACATCAGAGGAGAGCTCATCATAGACCCGATGTTGCTCCGTCATAGGTTCAGGCCTAACTCTGTTTATATATACACCATTAATATGGTGGAGTAATGTTCATTGAATATACTATATTGCTTAGGAGCGTCAGCGTTCATAATATTCTGCACCACTTTTTTTCTTCTATTATAATTATACTGGGCTACCTCATATTGATATTGTTCTTGCTGATGACTCCTATCCGCCTTGTTGTCCCTCTGTGGATTCGACACTTTTCCCACACCCTTGCCAACCATATCAGTTTTGTTTTTCCTTCTTAGCTTATAGAACTTAATGGCAGGGTGTTGTGGACCAGGCAATTCTTCGTTGATGGTTTTTAGAAATTTTAGAAAATTTCCCACTGCCTCGTTGAATTCCACATTATCCACATTGTTTTGCTGAACAAATTTCTGGAAGGTAGCAGACCATTTTGCTATTTTGGACTCGAACGGATGAGAAAAAACACATCAGAGGAGAGCTCATCATAGACCCGATGTTGCTCCGTCATAGGTTCAGGCCTAACTCTGTTTATATATACACCATTAATATGGTGGAGTAATGTTCATTGAATATACCATATTTCGCCATAGATTGTTGACCTTCATTAGGGCCACGAAAAGGAACTGAAACTTACTTCATGTCCATTTTCAGCAAGATAAATGGGTTTTAATGACTGGTTGCTAGATGAAATACAGGGGGATGCTCATAAAAGGTGATGTCTCAGATGACATTGATCTTTCTGGTTTGCCACTATATGTTGTTTTAACAGTCTGTTGAGGCTTGAGAATCTACGCCACTATGCCAAGTGAGTAAATTATCTATTTTATTTGATTCATCCAATTGCATGTTTGGTCCAAAAGATCTCTATATAAAAATTGCATGTGTTTGTGAGTTCTACATGAGCATTTCTACACACAGAATCTACACAAGGGATTCCTAGTCAGTGTGAGATTAGACATATAATTGTTTAGCTTACAGTGCCCAGTATTGATCGTTCTAAGCTTTTTAAGAACTAATCTATTGAGACTGAGTAGCAGCTTGCTTTTTTTATTGCATGGCCCTGCAAGGAACAACTTTGAATGCCATTGTACCATATTGGACAAGTACTGCTTAAATTTATCATCATATGTCTCTCTGTTTCTTCTTTGGCAATTCTTAGACTTATTCCAGGCTCAGGTTTTATGTGAGTGGTATTTGAGCCTAACCTGGCTAGTCTATCAGCCGCTACTAGGGATACCACCATCATCATTGACCAGATACCACCACCACCATTGACCAGACACTCACTCAAAGGCAACCTTGTTGTGTTCAGCAAGGTTGTTAAGGGCTGTACTGTAGTGCACCAAAACTCAGAGTTGAGGCTCCCTAAAGATAGCTCCGAGGATGACCCACATGTTTCGGTTGAAGCGTCGGCTAACGTAATAAAAATTCTTGACTTTTATTCCTGGCAAATTTTGTTTCATCCTAATAATTAATCAGTCAACTAATTACTTATCTCTAAAAAAGGAATCAACTGCCCATTAAAGTTAGTTGTTATTTATAATTCTTTTAGCATTAGCCCACATACGTACACCAGCATCATGATCCTGTATCGTGGGATCTAGAGGTTCTGTTTCCTTCAAGCTACAATTAGGGAAATGTGATGTAGCAATTGCTCTTAACTTTTCTGTTTCATTTATGGTTTACTCATTATTTATTTTAAGCATTCAGTTAATGATGTTTTAAGACATTTACGTTTTGTGGACCACTTTGGGGTAGCAACTATTGGTAACATAACAGATAGCTATAGAGCGAACTCCTACAATGGGATGTCTCACCAGGTGCTCCAGGTGGTTTGATGAAAAGCAGTATATTTTTATAGACCCTCTGCCATTCAGCCACAACTCGAACTTAAGAACCTAGGTTGGTTGTTGAATAGGACCATTACAATTATCACAAGGATCACATGCGTTGAAAGGGGTAAGGAGATCTGGGAACTCTCACATGCAATGGGTCGGGCATTATATCCTGATCATTCTGCTAAGAGTGAGGGAGACTCCTGCACCCATCTCCCTCTTGAGACATCTTGAGAAGAAGTTTATACTTTTTGCAAGTCAATTTGGTGTGAAGAAGTATGTATTTCCAGTTTGAAGTTAGTAATGTTAATTTTTCAATATTCTTTCTGAGAATTATATTGTTGTAATCTATTTTCTCTTTATGAAATGAGGTTTTATATTCAATTCGAAGTTTATTGCTGTTATATTTCACTAAGTCAGATGTCTTAGATAATTTTATATAAGTCTTTGTTTCTAATCAACTAAATAAAATAAATTTTGTCTTCCACTCGAAATTTATGAAACCTTGCAAAAGAATCTTGATATGTTCATTGAATTTAAATTTTATAATTCACTCATTACTAAAAAAAAAAAAAAAAAAGTAGACATATATTTATATACTTTTAGAAAATATAAGCAAATCACTAAATTTGTTATTTGTTATTTTTATAAAAGGTACTGGGATATATATTCAAGAAAGATTATTGCCACTTATTCAAACCATAAGAGCCTTATTACAGATCTAAATGTAAATGAAAATCATCTAGCTTCAGTATCTATGGATCAAACGCTCAGAAGTAAATATTTAACATTAATAAGAAAAGATATTCTTTCGTCTACAATTTTTATGGTGGTTTTTAATTTCAGTTTTCAATATTGAAAGTGGTTATATGGTGTGGCAGTATCTATTTTCATGTAGCCCTGTGGCCGTTACTTTAGGCAGGAAACTTGAAGTTTATTTGGGAGTAGAAGATGGTTCAGTTTTCAGAACAGATTTGGAATCCCATCAAACCCCTGAAGAATGGGTAAGGAATAATTTTTATTTTATTTAAAAACAAATTGAAGTAACAATTTTTTTTTTCAAAACATATTCTTGAAGTGCACCTTATGATACATAACAAACAAGAGGAAACAAAAAAAATCTGTTTATGATCAAGAAAAACAAAATATGATTTAAAAAAAAAGAAAAGAATAATAATAATAAATTAAAGCTTTTATTTAAAAGGTAAAAAAAATCTGGCAATTGTTTGTACCTGATGCTAAGCATCCTTTTAATTGCATTTTTAATAAATACTTTCCTATTTTTAATATATGTATGTAGGATTATGATTGAAAATAAAACAATTACATTTTATCATAAATTTAGTTTTTTATGTTATATTAAAATATTATGATTGAAAATAAAACAATTAAATTTTATCATAAATTTAGTTTTTTATGTTATATAAACATTACATATTAAATTATAATGAAGACACGTACCAATATCTTCCGATGTCTTAATTTTGCCAAATTAAATAGAAAAATTAGAAAAAAAATATTAAATTAATTGCAAATAAATACCACAAGACATTTAAGGTTCATAACTTTCATTGTATGATTCTAAACCATTTATGTCCATTTCTTCTTAATTGTTCAGGGTAGTTTGTAAATCATTACATTTTTTCAAAATTTAAAATAGATTTTTTTTTTTTTCAAGCAGAACTTCACCTAATTCAAATAATTATTTCTTCGAAGAAGAGTTAACAATTTTTTCAACCAAACAATTGTTAACAATTGTTAACAATACATAAAATTCTGTGGCAAATGAATAACTTAGATTATAAAATTGGTCCTGGATTATTCTAAAATTGACATTGGAGACTCAATGTTTATCAACTTTACCTTGATCACAAAGTGGTTTGGGTAATACTCAAAAGTTATTGTCCCACGAAAATGTCTGTTGGCTTGACAACAGATAGGCTGATTAGCAGACACAAAACCATATTTGTTCCTTGAAATTCCCTAAAATGTATAACGTGAGTGAAAATTTTCTCAATAATGTAAAAAAAAAATGTTTACATCCTGTAGGATAGAGTAGAAAATTAAACTTTAATCTGGGACATAGTAAAAAATAAATATCTGACCAAAAACTAACTTAATAAAAATTCTAACAATAATTTAAATAATGATATGTAAACAACTAAAAAAAAAATAGAAATACAAATCAAATCTTCTCAAGAATAGTTATAGTTATTATGTGAGAAAATAAAAACAAACAATATATATTGTATATATATTGGGCTGTCCAGAAAATAATGTAAGATTTTGTTTTAAAAAGAAAAAAAGGAAGATTTACAACTGTTTTATTTAATCCAAATATTCTCCACTACTATCAATAAATTTCTGCCAATGTGTTGGCAACTTTTCTATTCCCCCAGAATAGAATTTCTCATCTTTAGAATTGATAAACTCCAAAAAACGTATTTTCTAATTCCCTTTGTCCATTAAATTTTTTGTCACTTAAGTACTGGTCCAGGTATCTAAAAAAATGATAATCTGTAGGTGAGAGGTCCAGAGAGTAGAGTGTATATGGCTGATTTTCGTATCCAAGCTCCTACATTTTTTGTGACGTCACATGTAAGACATGTGGCTGGGCGTTGTCATGCAACAAAATGGGCCAGCCCCTTCCGATTGACCAAAGATCGCTTTATTATTGCCAATTTCTGATGCATTGCATTATTTTGGTAACAATACGATTTGGCATTGATGGTTTCTCCAGGATTTAAAATGCTGTCCTGTATCAGACTAAATGAAGCATACCAAACAGTAACTATCATCTTTTTTTGATGAGTTGAGGGCTTTGGAAAATGTTCTGTTGCTTCTCCTTTGTCAAGCCATTGTCCAGAATGTCTATTGTAAAGTATCCAATGTTCATCACAAGTAACAATTCTGTACAGAAAAGGGTCGTTTTCGTTCCGGCAAAGAAGTTTAGCACAAACTTCACTACGCTGGTTTTATACCGGTTGTTTAATGTGTGTGGAACCCAATTTTCAACCTTTTTTATCTTTCCAATCACCTTGAAGTGGTCATCGACTGTCGATTTGCTAAGATTAAGTTTCCTTGCAAGTTCTTGAACATTTGTTCTGGGGTTTTCTTCCACCAAAGCCCGCAGAACATTGTCATCAAGAGAGAAAGTCCTTCCAAGACCTTCTTTGTCTTCAAGGCTGAAGTTTCCTTCATGAAATTTTTGAGCCACTATTGAACAGTGCACTCATTAATGCTGCTCTCAGCCCAGACTTGATTGATGTTTCTGGCCATCTGGGCTCCGCTCCGGCTGAGTTTAAACTCGTAAACTCACGTGTTGACATCTTAATAAAGACTGAATTATTTCTAAGCAGCGAAATGCTATAGAGGTAAACAAACATTATGATTTGGAAGAGGATTAATAAGTGTTGACATTCATACAAATGAATAATCCAGTAAACGTAAACAGTTTGTTATGTAGAGGGGTATTTTAAAGAAAACTCTAAAATCCTGCATTATTTTGCGGACAACCCAATAGAAAGAAAAAGCCAAACCTGGATAAAAGAAAAAATAACTAACATAATTAAAGAAATGCATTGATTTTTTATGTTAAAAACATAAACAATTAGCTATCTTAATAAAAATTCTAATAATATAACTATACTTCTAATAATATAATTATACTTCTAATAATATAATTATACTTCTAATAATATAATTATACTTCTAATAATATAATTATACTTCTAATAATATAATTATTTAAATAGTAATTTAAAAAATAATCTGTAAATACTAAAAAATAAAAATTGAATCTCCTCAAGAGAAATCAAAACCTGAAGAAAATGAAAAATAACAAAAGTAAATAAAGAAGAAGCATCGATTTTTGATTTTAAAGCTTAAACAGAAGTCACTAATATTTGTTCTAATAAAATTCATAAAAAGAAATTTTAGGTTTACAGATCATCTGTTTGGGATGTAAGGAGATATTGGAAAAGGAGGTATTTGAATGGTGACATGGAAGAGGCTTGACAGATGTTGGATGGTAAGGAATTTCAGAAGGTAATAGAGCTGGCTATGAAGGAACGTTGATAGATTTCAGTTCTATGAGAAGTAATACAGAGGTCAGAGATATGAGATCTTGTTTTCTGTGAGTGGGCCGAAGGTTTGAGATGAAGGAGATGGTAGTTATAGGAAGTGTGCTCAGAGTTGATTGGTACAAGAAATTTCCAAGGAAGTATGTATTGGTGGTGGAAGGAGAGTAATAGCCACTTTAACTCTTTATACAGGTGGGACCATCACGAAGTACCGAAAACAAATCTTAATAAACAGTTAAAGATTTTCTTCAGTCTATCCTCGAGCACAATTGAGAGACCGTCATAAACCACACACATTAGATGAAGGAGATAAGTTAGTCATTAATAATTTAAGAAGGAAGGATGATAATGGATCTAAGGAGGGAGTTGGAACTTATTATAATGGCTTGAGTTTTTGTTGTGTTTAGCTTTGATTTATTCAAGCTTGCTCAGTACTGATCCTATCTAGGTCTTTTTGAATATCAGCAAATGCTGCTAACAAGTCAGTGGATGGAAAGAATAAATAAATTTAGGAGTCATCAGCATACAGATGGTGTAAGCAGTGGTGGACTTAATTTGGAAGGTCATTGATATAGGAATTGAAAAAACACTGAAATTGCATGCTGTATGAATACATTTGGAAATGAGATAGGGTACTACTTCACTAGGAGGCCGGGTCAAAACCTCACTTCTTATCTATGTTATCTAACGCCACGTCACATAACCTCCCTCTTCTTATCCCGCCAAACCTTTCAGTTATTACATTGTTTATTTTTCACTTATTCCCTTATTTGAGTGTTTTATTGTCAAAATAAATGACAGAAAGGCAACAACCTTATTACAAGCAATTAAAGACAATATAGAAGAGGGAACAACCATTTATTCGGACTGTTGGAAAGGATACAACACCCGACAACTAAACGAAGCAAACTATCACCATTTCCAAGTGAATCACAGGTATAATTTTGTCAATCCATCAGCTGGGGTTCATACTCAACACATAGAACGATTATGGGGCTCAGCTAAATGGAGAAATAAAATACATAGAGGAACTGTCAGACACCTCGATTCATATTTATGCGAATTTTTGTGGCGGCGGGTCCACAAAGAAGAGGACCCATTCCTCTCTATTTTAAATAGCATAAAACTATTTTGCCTACCAAAATAAATAAGACGAAGTGAAAATAAATTCATAAAAAATACATAAAAATAGAAATAGAAATAGAAATAGAAAATAATTTTATTCTGGGACGAAGTCCCTTCAGAATAACAAAAAAGTACAGAAATTAAAATTTTATATCTGGCCAGATGAAAACAAACATAAAAAGTAAAGATAAAGATAAATCAGTATAAAAAAAATATATTAGTTATACATACTATATACAAAATAATATAAAATAATCTGTATACAAAACTCTCGAAACCATACTAAGATACTTAAAACTATGTACAATGGTAAAATATAAATAAACCCTTTTAGAAAATAAATAAATAAATAAATGTAAATTCTTCTTAACAGTAAAATCTGTGTTCCTGTTGAAAAAAAAAAGAAAAAAAAAAGAAAAGAAAGGAAGTCGAATCTATAATAAGTATTTAAGTTATGAGCTATATGTGAATATATTATTATAAATAATATGTAATTTTACATAAAAGGTTAGCTGGTATCTTACTGTTTTTGGAACAGGAATTGGAATAGGAGGGTTTTGAATGTAGATAGGGATAAAGAATGTCGGATTTTGATAGGAAGGGAATTCCAAAAATTAACAGAACGAGCAATAAAGGAGTTTTGGAACGAGGCAGATCTGTGAGAAAGAATGTAAAGGTCGGAAGGTCGAGATCTTGTGGAGAGGGAGTGGACTGAGGACTTGAATTGGAGAAGGTTGTAGGCGTAGGAAGGATGATGATTGTTGATGATATGATAGAGGAATGTATCTAGGAAATATTTTCTTCGAATGGAGGGGAAGAGCCACTCTAACTCAGTGTAGTGGTGAGAGACATGGTAGTATCTCGGGGCACCAATTACAAATCTCAGGCAACTGTTCATTAATCTTTTCAAACATGTGTTGACTTATGTTGTTTATTGTGTTGATATTTTTTCTTTTATATGTAAATATGCTCTTTAAGTGTTTTTTTATTATTTCATTTTCATCCTTTATATCTACATATGTTCTTTAAGTGTTTTTTTATTATTTCATTTTGATCTTTTATATGTACATATCTTCTTTAAGTGTTTTTTTATTATTTCATTAATATATGTGTCGTAAAATAAAAGTATTTTTTTGTTATTACATTTGTTTTTCTTTCTGTTTACACTTTCAATAATACGAAGATAGGAATTATGAGAAGGTTTATCACTGCCTTATCAGAATTATCAGTGTTCAGGTTATAAACATTGGCAGCTAACAGTCAGTCCAGGCCTGCTAGTGAAGAAGTACCTGAGGTAGCAACAAAAAGTTCACAGAAAATGAATCATTTCTTAAAAAAAAAATTATAAAATAAAAAATTGAAGAGAAAGATGGTTGGGATGATAAGTCAAAATAAAAATAGTAAACATAAATAATTATATTTACTATTTTTATTTTAACTGATCACCCCAACAACCCTTCTCTTCATTTATTCAGTACAGTCAACCATCAACCACAAAACAAAAAAAAAAAATCAATAAAATTTACTGCTTTATCTTCTTTGATAAAATTGATATCTAGATTAAATTATTTTATGTGACTTTCCAAGGCGTCTGAAAAAAAGATGGCCTCTGGACCTTCTAATATAGAAATATAATTGGAGTGCTACCAATGGATAGTTTCTCTTCATGTTGTACATATCATGTTACTTATTTCATATTTATCATGTTGTATTTATCATTTAACACAATTGTAAATTTCAATAATAATAACAAAAAATATATATGTATATGAATTTGTCAATAAATTTAATTGGAATTAATGAATAAAAGGATCAATACTAAATAAACACAGGAGTTCTGTATTACTCTATTTTTTCCCAGAGCTTACATAAAATTCTTACAAAACAGAATGATTGAAGTGAGGAAATAAGATTTAACTTGGCTTGTTTTTCATGTTCTAGGAAGCTACTTATGCTCATGAAGATAAAATAACCTGTATTGTGTTTGATGAGCCATTTTTAGTAACTGGAGGAGATGATGGTTATGTTATGGTATGGCGTTTTGAACACTTTGAGGCATCTGCAGTTGCAACTTTTGACCACGATGGACTGTAAGCTTTTATCATTATTCATTATCAGATAATGCAATTTGTTTAGCTGATATAAGATAAGTCATCTAGCATCACATTGTCAATTTATATGAATGGTTTAGGGCCATCAGTATGTCTCAAGAATCCAAGAGGTATACCTATAATGGCAGATTGAAAGATAAACTTATTACCAGGCAAAGAAAAGGTTATTACCAGAACTAGAAAAAAAATATTAATTTAGTTGTTTAAGCATTGAAAAATAAAAAGGTTTCTTCTCAGGTCTTAGGCTTGAATAAAGCTTCTTTAAAAAAAAAATTTGGTACTTGTGTCTTAGGAATTGAATATTTCCATATTTATGGAATTGAAATAGATAAAAACAAATGTAATAATAAAAAAACACTTTTATTTTACAATATATATATATATATATATATATATATATATATATATATATATATATATATATATATATATATATATATATATATATATAAAACTGTTTTATTTTACATCTTATTTATTTTGGGAAACAAAATATAACGTATATAATACTTAATACATTATCAGTTTTATTTTATATTTTATTTATTTTGGGAGACAAAATACAATGTATATAACACTTAATACATTATATACATTCATAATTAGTAATTGGTTGACTGTCGTGGATAATGAAGAGAAGAATAGTTGGGGTGCTCAGTCAAAAAGGAAGGCAAAAAATAAATTATAATATTTATTTTTTACATATGCCGACGTTTCGACCTGAAGTTCAGGCCTTCATCAGGGCTAAGAAAATAACCAGATAACAAGGTATGAGAAACATAAGTAATGATGGTAAAAAAAGATAATAAAAAATGAGAAAATAAAAATAAAAAAAATTATTAGAAAAATAAAATAGATAGATATAAAGTAAAATGAAATTGTTAGAATAATGACTAAGAACTAAGAGATAAATAATAAAAACTGTTACATAGTGTGGAATGATAAAGTAGGCATAATCAAAAAGAAAGTTAATAGAAAGTGAAAGAAAAATTCAAAAGAAAAATAATTATTGAGTAATAAGGGAGAAAAATTGAAATAAAAATATATCATATATACATATATATACATGATTTTTATTTTCTCATTTTTTATTATCTTTTTTTACCATCATTACTTATGTTTCTCATACCTTGTTATCTGGTTATTTTCTTAGCCCTGATGAAGGCCTGAACTTCAGGTCGAAACGTCGGCATATGTAAAAAATAAATATTATAATTTATTTTTTGCCTTCCTTTTTGACTGAGCACCCCAACTATTCTTCTCTTCATTCTATATACATTCATACTTTAAATATACAACATATATACATATAAAACACTTTTATTTTGACAGACAAAATAGCTTAATGCTATTTCAAATAGCAAGGAACGGGTCCTCTTCTTTGTTAGCCTGCTGCCACAAAAATTCATATAAATAGGAATCCAGGTGTTCCCTTGCAGTTTCTCAATGTTTTTAATCTCTCCACTTTGTTGAGCTCCATAATCGTTCTATGCCTTGAGTATGGAGCCTGCTTGAATCATTAACAAAGTTATACCGGTGATTCACCTAGAAATGGTTAAACTTTGCTTCATTCAGTTGTTGGATGTTGTATCCTTTCCAACAGTCAGAATATATGGTGTTTCTCTCTTCTATATTGTTTTTAATACATTCTAATAAATTTGTTGCTTTTCTGTCATTTTTTTTACCATGAAACATTCGTCTGTTTCTCGGTAAACTCCGCCAAACATTGTTCTGGGAGAACTCTTCCTACCTGATTTTTTCTTTTACAAAAAAGACTCGTCTATTTCAACGAATTTTACAGGTCCTCCAATTTTTTTAGTTGACCTGTATAACATGCTAAGAGCACAAACCTCTCCCCATACCTGAAGACGGTAATTCCCAAAGTGTAATTATATCTATTTCACCAGAAGATATAAAAATTAAACCAAGATGGAAACAATCGAATAACGCACAACTAACGGAAGGATAACAAAGGTTACATGAGATAAGAAGGGAGATCTTGTGATATAAGATAAGATAAGAAGGGAGGTCCCGTGATATAAGATAAGATAAGAAACGAGGTTCAGTCCCGACCGCATAAGACATCTGAATAACCCCCATCACTTATATCCATTTGAAACCTGAAAGCTTCTGGATACTTCCTTGATATTTCCTTCATATCCACAATTCATTCCCGCAACATCCGCTCGAGCTCATCAGATTTATATATTACGACCCACTGAACCACAGTATCTAGAGATCTTTCATTAACCGATCCTTGTCCCTAGGGAATTTCATCCCTTCCCACACCTGTAACTCTAATACCCTCCCCATATTTAAATCCTGTATCTTTAACCATTTCCTATCCATACAACCTGTAAATAGATAAGTTTGTAAATATGTACATATATTATTACTATTTTTATTTAATTTTTCGATGTCAGTATCATTTCGCATTATATCATTTGCTAATACAAGAGGGTATGACATTATTTCTTATTTATTCTGTTTGTTTATTCTTTTTCCAAATTTTTTATATTATTACTCTGGGGGCTGTAATGTAACCTATTATTTTGTTTTATATTATTCAAAAGGGACTGGTCCCATAATAAATAAAGAGTTCATTATTATTATACCAATCATGTAAGTGGGATACACTCCTTTTACTTTGCTTCCATAATGAAATCTTTCATGAATTTCTCAACCTCTCCCCCTTTCATCCATACTGCAACCATTAAGTAGGTAGACCATCTGGTCACGATGTGCCTTGCTAGTTGCAAGTACCTTTGATTCTATTCATATCCAGTCGTTCTATTTCCATCTCTGTAATGTTTTCTCCACACTTTGCCTCAAAATTTTCATCCTCCCTAAGAAAACGAAAATTTAATAAGGTCCTTAATAACGTTTCCATCTCTCAAGATTGTACTTTTGTTAGACAGCATTTAGCAGCAATTGGGATGCATTTTCAACATTGTATTGAAAATTATTTAGATGTTTTTTAATTTTGCTTTGAGTAGTTTATCATCCTGTTAGATCCTATTCATTTGTAAATAATCTTTATTTCTGCATTAGGTTTTTTTACTATATTCTTCTTGTCTGTGAATCCTCAAGCCTAGAAGATTCCACTCCTATACTCCCCAAAATATGAAATTCTTAATTCAAGATATTACACATTTTTTGATTTAAATTAAAATTCATGTTTTTGGATTCCTTCTGAAAATTTTCAACGAAAAATTATAATTAGTATGTATCTCTTTATTTATATTTTTTTTTAGCTGTGTAACTGGTGTAGCTCTGAGTTTTATGAAAGTATTAACCACTGCTATTGATGGAATTTTAAGAATATGGGATGTTTGTAATTCAAGACTTAAACGTGAAATAGTGGTGAACATTGCAAGAACTCCCATAATTAGTATGATTTGCATGGAAATAAATGATCACACAAAGGTATGTATATATATACATATATTATATCTTATATATATTCATTTCATTGAAAGAATAAAAACTGTTTTTAGTGAATAATATTACAAGCTGTTGCAATAAAAAACATTGGTACTTCATTCATTAGAGTTCATTTACACCATATTTACATTTAAAAAATAAAATAATATCTAAACAATAAATAGAAAATATGCCTCTCCCTTCAAAAAAAACAAAAAACAAATCTACCTCTAGGCCCAAATGGTACAGTATGTCAATGTATATAGACCGTTGAATACAAAACTGGTGTAAAAAATTGAAGCTTTGAGATATTCAACAGTTTAGTTGAAGTTATACAAAGGGTAGGTATAAAATTGGTATTTCTTGTAAGAAATAACAGCATAATTTTCTGTTAAAAGTAGTTATAAAAATAGTCTCTAGCATATTTAATTATTTAAAAGCATGAAGTTAATACAACCAATTAAAAATATTCCTTAAAAAAAAAAACAGCATACAGAAACAAAGTGAAAACATAGTTTTTTTTTTCACATTTCACTTTAAGGTAGGATACTAATGATACTGGTCAAAAATGCCGTTCCAGAGACCAATGTGAATAGTGCTGCCTAATAATGATTGAATTGAAACCACAAAAGTGAGGGAAATCGAATACTAATCAAGAAAGTAAATAAAAAATACTTTTATTGAATTCATGATCAGTTTTATTATTAATTACTACAAAATCGCTAGCAAGATTATTAATCAGTTAAGTAATTGATATCAATAACAAATGTTTTAAAGATGAAAAGAAAAGTAATTCGTCCATCTCAACATTTCATGAAAACAATCTGAGATAAAGAAGCACTGGTTCTATAACTACTTATTAGAAGACTGGATTATATTTTTACCACTGCTTAATCTATTTTTTTCACATTCAAACGCAAATCCAGGGAGGGGGGGGGCGAGGAGAGACAAGAGGGTGGCTGCCCTGGGTCCCACACTATATAAGAATTAAAGAAATGATTTATAAATCACCGATTTCACTTTCAAATACTAACCAACAATGTTATTAATATTGTTGGTTCATTTGATCAAAGTGATGCTTAGAGGAACATTTTTGAGTGTCATTTGCCCTGTACATTGGAAGAAAGTTTTCTTCTGAAGCATGATAATACGCGATACAGAACTCAGCATGTTGTTCGATACCAGCAGAAGGTTGCCATTACCTTCCTGAAGGGGTCACTGAAAAATACGGTAACCTTAATATGATAGAGTATTTTTGAGTCCTCTCTGTGTTGGCATACATACATATGTGACAAGCAGATGTTCAATTAGACGTTCAATATGTATTGAAGTTCTATATAAAGAACGCATAGAAGAAAGAACAGATAGCATTGCCACTGAAGGTGGGAGTTGGAATAACATCAAATTGAAATACACAGGAATGGTTTTGGTTTTTACTCTTCATCTATCATCACAAAGTCTGTGAAGCGAACTGGCAATTGTTGATGTTGTTGAGGCTGTGGAGGTTGATGACCTGGCTGCAGTTGAAGATCAAGATTTGTTTGACACTCAGGTTCTGGCTGATGATCACCTCTGGTTGACTATCACGTTCTAGCTGACGATCACGTTCTGGTTGACAATCAGACAGATATTGTATTTTGGCTGAAGATCAAGTTGCTGATCTGGACCTTTAATAATTCTAGGAGTAAGGAACCTTGGTATTATAAAAGTGCGATTGACCAAAAGTCACCTGTTTATTGGGATCTAGAACTTTAGTCATTCTTAGTTGGTTGATATGTCGCTTTAATAATATATCTGAGTATAGCATAACTATTTATTGTCGAGAACCAAGACTTTTCTGGATTTTTCCGAATTGTCAAATTTCCTTTTATTGTTGAGATAATGACAAATCTGGACTCTTTCCCCCATTTGAAGAGTTCGTAGGAGAAGCAACCAACAAAGGACTTTTGTTTTGTGTGGGCAACTTTATTTCTGATCCCACAAGCTGACTGTTCATAATTTGAATTGGTAAAGAAGATAGTTGGCTGAGAAATGGAGCTGCAATTATTTGCTGTATTGTGACTCCTGTACCAATATTTTGATTTTGCCCAATCATTTTTACACTACCATTTTATTTCTTAGGCTGGTGTCTTTGTTTTTCATTAGAAGAATGTGGTAATGAGTGCTTAATTTTCTTTAAATGCTTTGCATGATGCTAAAGTTGTATATGTTGCTGTGCAAATGTGCAAATGTTGTAATTGATATTGCTGTGCATTTTGAAATGGGTTTGAAATTTGTATTTTTACATCATCTTTATTTTATGCTCCCAGTATGTTGTAGTCTCCAAAAACCCTCCATTAGTGTCTCTATCCTTATCCAGAGGCGTTCCACACAGTTCTACTTTATTTTCCACCCTCTTTTCCATCTATCATGTCAATACCACCTATATGCAGACGACATCCAAATTTAACTATCCTTCGACCTGGCTGATTTTTTTTTTCCCATTGGGATCTATTGTGCGCCATGTGTTATCATCCGTTTTATTCTTAAAACATTAATTTGGTCGCTGTTGAGTATCTTAGTAGGCTTAAGGGATTGATAGACTCTGGTATAATCTACTCGGTCCTCCCCAAACAGCTATAGTCTAATCTTTACAAACCTATCACATCGACAAACGATGTGAAAGGTTGTTTTATTCCTCTCATGACAGAATCTGCATAGCGGGTTCATAGTCACTCGGAGATTAAACATGTCATAATTTAACTTACAGTGATCAGTATAGATCGCTAAGTTTTTTGAGAGCTGCTCTGTCCAAACTCAGTAGCATCTTACTTCTTTTATCACATGGCCCTTTAAGGAACAGCTTCGAGTGTCGCTGTTTCTTCTCGGTCCAATGTTGTTTGAATTTTTCCCATTTAACTCCCTAATCCTTCTTTTAGCAGTACTAAGGCTGATCCCACAAAAGGGTTCAGGAGTTATGGGGATAGTGTTTGAGCCTAACCTGGCTAGTTTGTCAGCCTCTTCGTTGCCGGGAATGATCGAATGACTAGGCATCCACTCAATTACAACTCTATTAAGCTCAGACAAATTGTTAAGCTCTATACTGCACTCGTTAACAAACTTTGAGTATTTATAGTGATTATTTAGGACACCTATTGCTGCTTGACTGTCAGTGTAGATTATTATATTTTTCCAGTGAGTTTTTGCCTAGCAGTAGGTTTTAAGTTCTATGACAAATTTCCAGTACTTCGGACTGAAATACTGAAGTATATTTGTCAAGAGGAATTGAAAATTTATCTTTATTGTCTTTACAATAGATGCCTGCTACTGAGCCATAAGCTACATTGGTTAGCATGCTTAGAGAGAATATTGCTTACTCAACATGCAGCCGGAATATAATCCATCTCCAGGCTTGTCTTTTGGCTTTCCTGACAGATTTGTGATACTCAGTAAGAGCTTTCTTCTTATTCCAATTGCCATATATTTTAGCAGCATTGAAGTCTTCTTGTGAGTGTCCGTTGCTTTGAAAGATTACTATTACACCAGGAAACCTTTCTGTTGGTTAAGTTAAGTTTTTATGGCATCATTACTTTTCAGGTATGATTTAATCATAGTGTCAGATAATGACGTATTGAAACTTCTGACACGTCTGATGGCCACTATTTCGACCTAGATGCACTCCTTGTAGAAGGGGAGTCCTTAGAATCACCCTCTTTTGAAGTTCCAGCCCTTGGTACTTCATTTTTGACTCCTCTGGGGCAGGCTTGGTGCTCATCCCCAGATGCCTGAATGTGATGACATAGATACCACAACAAGCCTGCATTCCATCTGTTGTGGTGCTCTGAAGGCTGGTCTTCGGTACATTGAAAAGATCCCTCCTCCAAGGCCTTAAAGTTGCAAACGATCTAGTTGCCAATCTCTGTAATATTCTGATTCTGAATCGGGAGCTGATTGAGGTAACGATCAGCAGGTAACGATTTTACTTAGTTTGCTAGCTTCACAAGCTCGGATAGTTAGACCCTACTCGATCAAGATGCTAGGTGTAATGTTTTTGAGCCAATCAAGATACTAGACATCCACCGAGTTTGTTGAGTGCTCCATCAAACTTCGGGTGAATGTCTCCTACAATTTGCAGCTCTTCTATCTTGCTGATGATGACTTCCTTCAATATCACACATTGGTCGTAGCTAAGTTGGGTTTGCATATAGTTATTGAGAACTACCATTACCAGCTATCCTCAAGCAACTTTAGCATAGTTTTTTGGCCTTACAGCTTCCCTTAGTTTCTTAGCGATTACTGCTGAGGTTCCTAGGAATGATCTAGAGCACTTTTCCACAGGCAGTCTTGACCTTGATCTCCACTTTTGAGGTCTTGCAGTTTTAGTTGCTGGCCTATGGGACCTTGCAATCTTAGATGCTTGTCTTTGAGGTCAGCACTCTCTCTCTCTGTCTGTGGTTTTGAAGCCCTTTGGTGGTCTTTCCCCTCCAGCAAGGCAGCTTCGTTTGCCATGGGGCTGTTGCATCCTGAGCTACCCAACCTTGAGTAGGCTCTAATGTTTTGTTCATCTGCCCTTGTTCAGAGGCCTCCTTCTCGAGCCTTTAGGGGCCCTTGCTTCCTCAGCTGAGTAATTTAAAGGTAGCTTTGTCACTTCGGGTGTATTTGACAGTTGTAGGGCTTTCACTTTCTCCTGTTAAGTCTCTGCATGTTCTTGCTCAACCTCGACATGGCAGTCCTGGCAACTTGGATGCATGATCTTCGCCTACTATCTGATCACGTCTTGATTGTGAGGGGCTACCTTCTATAGTACCTAAGTCAGATATGACAGTCACTTCCATGTCCATTTGTTCTGTTGGGGCCTGTGCAATAGCACTTGCCACACTCTCCTCCTTCCACTCAGTTTTGACATGGAGTGTACCTAGCTCCTCCGTCAGGGTCTTTAATAAGGTTCCTACCAGAAATTCTTCTAATGTTTCAGAGAAAACCTCTGAAATGTTCATTTGTTCCAATGAAGACAAGTCTTCTTT